AAGCGCAGGTATAAGAGAGACAAATATCAAATAGGGGAAATTATTAACTGTAATTGCAAAATGTAACTGAAAATAGACAGAGAGAGAGAGAGAGAGAAAGAGAAAAGTTTTCCAAGAATTAGAGAGCTAAAGGCTGAAAAAGAGAGATTGTTGGAGAAAACAAAACAGAAACGCTACCTGGTTTCAGTGAAAAAATAAATGCAAGAAAGAAGGAAGGGCCGATAGAAGTGCTTATCGTCTCCTGCTAATGCATCATAAATAGTGAGCTTATAAATAAATTGAATTACATTTTGATACAAAAAATAAATTAAATTCATAAGAAAAAAGAAAATAATGCAAAAAAAGCGGGAGGAGAAATGATAAAAGGATATTTATGATAGCTATTGCAATATTTCGTTCAATTTGTTAAGCTAAATTATTTAACGATGCAATAATGGAATTTCTACTCATGTTCTATGGCCGTAGATCTCGCCATGAAATTATTCCATCATTAACTTCAGAATTAAAATAAAAAAACCATGAAATTTTCACGGGTCTTTCTAGTATAATTTTATTTCCAGAAAGTTCTTCGTTTCAATTATTTATTTATTTATTTAATGCAATTGCGTTGAGGCCATTAATAATGAGACAGAGTGGGGAGAGAAAGAGAGAAGACTGAAATAAGTGTTGCGACTAATAATAAAATTTTTTTTCAATTATTTCGATATGCTGCGATCCTTTCGGTCGTTGGCGAGCATAGCCCTCCTCAATTTCCTGTCTTTTGTAGCCTTGAGTAAATCTTGTTGTCTTGCTATCTTTCCTATTTCTTATTCTACCAACATGCTTGTTAAGTAGGCTGTTCGCTGTTTTCTTTTATCCATCTTACCTTCAATATGTCATGTAAGCATGACGTTTTCCAAGGTCTCTTTTCTCATTATGTCCCCTAAACATTTCATCTCTTTCTGCTGTTAAGCAACCTCTTCCTTTTTGTTTCATTTTCTCTAAAAGTAGCAGAGCGTAGTTCAGTTGTTCTTCCTTCTGGTCTTCTTCGTCTGACAAGTTGGCATTGGACATTCGGATAGAGTAAACAAAATGGCCGCCTTTATACACGACGGATTGAATATTCTACGTCTTCTGATTGGTTAACCTTCTATTGGCGGACTTTAAACTGAGTCAAGTCATTTGGGCTAGCTCACTCGTACATATATACACAAAAAAAAAACCCGCAAGAGCTCACATATTCAGTCCATTCTTTTCTCGGCGTTCTTCAGGAGAATCGCATTTTTGTTGTCTCAAGTCTCGTCTTCAGTTCTCATCAGGTGATCTAGCATTCTATGCGATACAGAAGTACCGTTCTTACATAACAGTCTAACGAAATTTTCCTGTTTCTTAATACTTTTTTTAGCTTTTGGAAGGCATCTTTCGCTTTCCTAATGCATCTTCAAATTTCGTTGTCGCTTTTTTCACCCTCCGATCCTGGATATTTAATTTTTACAGTTGTTTAATTTTGGTATCCCCGATGTGTAATTTGCTTGTTGGGCTGTTCTTTTTGCTGACAACCAAACAGTTTGTATGCTTACTGCTCCTCAAAACCTTCTGATCAGAGGCCTTGCTACCGGATGAAGTCATACCCAGGACGCTGATCATATCGGAGGCGGTTTTTTCAACCTTATATAGTCGTAAGACACTAATGGCTAGAAAGTCTAGTCTAATCTGCTATTCAAACCATAACTAGGTTTGGGGAAGAGTATTGGAAATCACTGCACCAGTCCCACTCATTTTGCTGATAATGATATCATTACCTGTATATGCCATCTCTTGTTACACAATGAGTTCAAAAAATAACCCGTCCTGGTGTTTTGGGTAACACGATAAACTTCATCCGACGGCATGACCTCTAATCAGGAGATCTTGAGGAGCTTGGAAGCACCTCTTAATTGCTGGTGTTCCCAAGTCCGCCCTGACTCGGGGTGGTAGCACTTGTTAGGGTCCCAGTTATGGCCAAACAGCTAACCCTCCAAACTGAGGTCAAAACACTATGAAAGTGTAAAAATAGGTTTTAATACCAGAAATACTTTGTAAAAAAAAACTATTACAAGCAATACATTTTTGAAAAAAAATATATTACCGGCAATACATTTTTTTTTATAAAAAAAAAAAATATTACCGACTATACATTTAAAAAAAAAGATATTACCAGTGAAGGGAGATTATTACCAGAAATATATTTTTGAAGGAAAAAAACTATTACCAACAATGAAAATTTTATCGGCATGAAAAAACCCATTGAGGCTGATATGCCATCAAACAAAACGAACCGAAACTTAACAATAACGTCATGTGAATGTTGTAAAGCTTTATAGCTGAATAAAAATTGCACTGCTCAAATAATATCTGAATAGTTATCTTCACTAAACAGTGTGTATAGAAGATATTCAATTTATTTTCATGATTTTTTATTTTTAAATTGAAAACACTAACTACGATGATAAGAGTATGTTCTGCTATTCATATTTTAAAATCAATTTCAAGCAAGGAGATGACGCCACTAAGACGCAAGGGGTTACCGACAGTGAAAGAGAAGGAACAAAACTTTAGGACCCGGATGCTCAAAAATAGTATAAATTTCAGAGTTTAGGCGGAGACGTTAGAAATATGAAGTTTTAGAATTTAGAGGGCACAAAAAACTTAGCCCTATTCAGTTCTACTTCAGTTCAAAATGACAGGAAGGAGTGTGGATCACACGATAAGGGAACTTATCTGTTTTTATGTTAACATATGACAGTGCCTTTGCAAGGTTGTAACATTATCATGTTACTAGTTGTGATATTTAACCAGTTTTCTTATAAGGGTTCGTCACAAAGAGAAAGGTAAGTTTAATATTTACACAGTATAACCTTCTCTACCTATATAACTGTTGTGGTAGCATCCACCTAATTTGCATAGTGGAGTACCGACCATATAAATATGGTTGGTACCGGGAAGAGAGGGAGGAATCAAGAGATTCAACCAGAGACTCTGCCCGACTGCGACTCAGTCAACACATTCTCCAGGAACGGTCTTACCAGGAATATACAAAAGACTATATGTAAATATTGTGTACATTTTCTTGTTTCAATACATTTTGTTCTAAGTACATTTTGTGTTGCATTATTATTCCATGCATTAGTCAAGTTTCAACAATAACGATACATGGTTGTTAAGATTGTTATTTCGTTCTGTGATATTCTTTGGAACAGGAAGAGCCTGGTACTTGTTACCACTTCAGGATTGTATTTCCGGTTTCTTTTAAAGTTTACTTCAAATCTATATTTCCAACGTCTTCGCATTAACTCTGAAATTTTATTTACTATTTTTCCCCCTCATTAGTAGATAAGTTCGCTTATTATCCAGTTCATATCTATTAGTCTTTTGAACAGGACTTAAGGTTGTTTTTTTTTTTACTGTTTAAGATTCTGTTTTTTTCTTTCTGAAGGATTTTCATTCTCCCAATAGACCCCTTGCCTCTTAGTGGCATTACCATCTTGCTAGAGAAAAATTGATTAAAATAAAATGGGTTCTAAGGCAGACATCTAAATTTTTAAAATTATTTCTAATTCTATCCTCGCAACAAAATAATGAGTTATCCAATGGAAATTGAACTTACTAACCTGGCGATCAGTCAGCTGGTTAATCATCGGATGAATGAAGGTGATTACATCTTAGGAAATGAGTTATTCGATTGAATAAGCATCGATCCGTGCACGTCCGCTGGAGCTAGGGCCAACATATCATTTCTATTCCACTTCCTGTCTACTTTGTACCATCTGATATCGGCATCATCCAGTGGGTCGTACTTACATACAAAATTGTCGGGGAATTCGCTAATTTCTCTTCGAATGGAATGCCAATGTCCCAGCAGTATTGATATTAACATGTATGTCGGCGATACCCTTTTGCTCAATGCCAATTTGTTACCGAGTGCAAATTTATCGATCTATTTCAAAGTCGATCATCAATAATAAGTAAGACAAGTCTAGAAATAATTATAATATAGGACTCGCTGATAAAGACAAATGACAGCAATCATGTCAGCCGCAGAAATCACAGACAGGAGCAGCAATCATGGACAGCAGCAGCAAAGACAGACAGCAGCAGCAAAGACGGACAGAAGTAGCAATCATGAAAACAGCAAAATCACGGACAGGAGCAGCAATCATGAGACTGGAGCAGCAATCATGGACAACAGCAGCAATCATGGAAAGCAGCAGCAAAGACGGACAGCAGCAGCAAAGACACACAGCAGCAGCAATCATGAAAACAGCAAAATCACGGACAGGAGCAGCAATCACGAGACTGAGGCAGCAATCATGACACTGGAGCAGCAATCGTGGACAGCAGCAGCAAAGACGGACAGCAGCATCAATCATGAAAACAGCAAAAACACGGACAGGAGCAGCAATCGTGGACAGCAGCAGCAATCACGGACAGCAGCAGCAATCGTGGACAGCAGCAGCAATCACGGACAGTAGCAGCAATCATGAAAACAGTAAAATCACGGACAGGAGCATCAATGATGAGACTGGAGCAGCAATCATGGACAGCAGCAGCAAAGACAGACAGCAGCAGCAATCATGAAAACCGCAAAATCAGGGACAGCAGCAGCAATCATGAGACTGGAGCAGCAATCATGGACAGCAACAGCAATCGTGGACAGCAGCAGCAAAGACGGACAGCAGCAGCAAAGACGGACAGCAGCAAAATCACGGACAGCAGCAGAAATCACGGACAGGAGCAGCAATCACGAGACAGGAGCAGCAATCATAGACAGAGCAAAGACGGACAGCAATCAATAGACAAAGCAGCAAAAGACGGACAGGAGCAGCAATCATGAGACTGGAGCCGCAATCATGGACAGCAGAAGCAATCGTGGACAGCAGCAGCAATCATGGACAGCAGCAGCAAAGACGGACAGCAGCAGCAATCATGAAAACAGCAAAATCACGGACAGGACCAGCAATCATGAGACTGGAGCAGCAATCATGGACAGCAGCAGCAATCATGAACAGCAGCAGCAATCATCAACAGGAGCAGCAATCATGAACAGCAGCAGCAATCATGAACAGGAGCAGCAAACATGGACAGCAGCAGTAATCATGAACAGCTGAATGGACAGGAGCACCAATCCTGAACAACAGCAGCAATCACGGGCTGCTGCAACGCTAGTCATAACCTAATCAGCTGCCAGGTTTTATTTTAAACTCAAACTTTACTGCAGCAGTCTACTACGAGACAATGGACTAGTATGGAAAAACGCCTTCTTACTTTAGTGACTTAGTCGTTGTTAGTTCAATCCCTGATTCAAAGAATATGTACTAAAATAAAAATAAGAGCTAAAACATGAGCAATGGATTAGATAAAATAAATTTCAGTTCAGGATTTCCCGTATGTTACTCAGATCAATATACACCTGACGAAGGCCGAAGGACACACCCACCGTAATAAGTTGTGGTCAATAATCTGGATGCAAATAACTGGTAATTTTGTTCAGTTAGGTTGCGTTGTGAACGGCTAAAGCGAGTCATTCTCGTCGAGCTGTAAATGCTGTTGTCATTCATTGGTAGCATTTATGATAAGAATTCCACTGGGACAGCAAAGATCGTCATGGCGTCTTATGATCGGCTGCAAAGCAAAGCATGTCTCTTCAACAGGAAGTACAAATATGTCTTTGGCGCTGAGATATTCGATAATGAGAAGTGATATGACTTGATGAGTGAAAATCGATACTGATATGAGGTGACGACTCAAAAATCGATATCTCTGGCGATTGCTGAAAAATCGATAGCTGTCGCAATGGCTCATACATCGATACCTGAAGGGATTGCTAAAAAAAAATGGATATCGGGGACAGTGGCTCGAAAATCGATATCTTGAGGTGAATGCTTTTAAATCAACTACCGGATTGACAGCTGAAGATCAATATCTGTTGTGACTGCTGAAACCGCCGGAACGTGCCACCGTCGCTCAAAAGTGGATATTTTGGGTGAGTGATCAAAAATCTGTCACCTACTGGTGTTGGTCCAAAATCGATAGATCTCTTAATGATGATTTTCTAATCCTAGATCTGGCACAGGGCCAGAAGACTGGGGAATTCAGTGAGGATCGAACTCACTGTTCATTTATAATTAATCTCGTAAGGAAGGCCATTATCCCCACGTCGATGCGTCCAAAGTCTATTTCTCGTGTTTTCTGGTGTTTAGATGCGGCACAGGGCCAAATTGTTGAGCTCTCATTGAGGATCGAATATTTATCCGTAACTGACCTAGCCAGACAAGCTTGCTAACAATTAAACCACGTCGAAGTGCCCATATGACTCAAAAACAGCCATCGATAGCTTGGGTGACTGCTCAAAAATGTCGATACATGGGTCGTTTGCTAGAAAAATCAGCTCCCCTAGTGACTGCTTAAAATGTACACCTCCAGTGATTAAGAATTTTTTAATAGGATACTAAATTCAATGTGAGTCGTTGTTAAAGTCTTGTTCGAACTTCCTTGCTGAGGATGGAAATTGAAGGAGAAATTGGTTTCTGCATTCATCAATTAAGACGGGAAATCAATACTGAATTTAGCTAATGAAGATGATACCTGTGAATACAAAGTCAGGCTTGAGTGTCGATAACATTTTAAGCACGCTTAAAGTTATAGGGAAGTGGAATTCTTCATTGACGACGAGTAATAATAATTATAATGCTTAAAGAGGAATACATGCTTAACAAATTGAAAGTAATAATAATAATAATAATAATAATAATAATAATAATAATCAAAGTGAATTTGAAACAAGACCACGTGTCTAAACCGTTCAATTATATTCCCCAAAAAATAACAATTTAGAACCATTAAAATTATTATCAGTCACTATACACTAATATCCATCGCTGGTTAAAACATAAGATATTTTTTAAATTTATACTTAAAGCCAGTGATTCCCAACTTCCGTGCCACGGTACCCCTATATGCAAAGCGATCAACGTATCTTAATGTGTTGAAACCTATATATATATATATATATATATATATATATATATATATATATATATATATATATATATATATATATATATATGTGCGGTCGCGTGTGTGTGTGTCTGTAAGTAGTACTGATACAGAGTTAATATTTGAATAAATTGACAAGTATTAACCTCTTGAAATATTTCTTCCCAAATGGTAGAACAGAAACATTGAAATAAAGTTTGTGTTTATTTTTTTTTTAATTTAAGATTTTATTTCCTAATATTTAAATGTATGGTGTTTAAATTTTTTGCTAAGTGCGCCGTGATATATTCATTTGCTCCTAGTTGTGTTGTTACTTAAAAAGGTTAAGAAACACTACATTATGACGATATATATATATATATATATATATATATATATATATATATATATATATATATATATATATATATATATCGATTCTCCCGTCGGGTTTGGCGTATGAGGGTCAAGCAGATCAGTTCCCAGGAAACCGACAGCCCGACACCGTCACATGAGATTTGATTATAGTGGTGAAGGTTTCGTGCAGGACCATCCACACTTTTTGAAGGGCCGAATACCTGGTGCACCGAATGCCACAAGGTTCCCAAACAACCCCCCTCAGGTTTTGAATTCAGAGTTGTCCTTCTCCTAGACAAGTTGCCACCCAAGGCTATAGAACCCAGTCTGTCCTGCTATTTAACCCATAGCTGGAGGGAGAAGAAAGAGGATTCATACCTTCACCAAGGATATTAGCACGTATTCGTCCCTTCAAAAAGTGTGGATGGTCCTGCACGAGGCCTTCACCACTATAATCAAATCTCATGTGCCGGTGTCTGGCTGTCGGTTTCCTGGAAACTGATCTCCTTGACCCTCATACGTCGAATCTCGACGGGAGAGTCGATTATATATATATATATATATATATATATGTGTGTGTGTGTGTGTGTGTGTGTGTGTGTGTGTGTGTATAATTACCGAAAATATAAGCTCAACCACAGGGTATTTCGAGGAAGTAGGTTAAATTAATAAGAAAAGGAACTCGACTGCCTAGCCCTTAACAGTGCTGGGGTCTGCGCTGATCCAGAGATTACACAGTTACATGCGACGAATATTCAAATGAAATTAGCTCACTTGGCTTTTCTGTCTTGATCTTGCACAAGATATAGTTCTTTATGGCTGTTAGCATGTTATGTTTAAGTTTTAATGAATTCATATGGGTTAGAGTAATAACACGCTCAATACCTGTGATTCGCTTTTCATTTGCTATGAGCTTAACCAGTTAGCCATGGGCCCTACAGGCTGATGCACTGTTCATGGCGAGTCATGAGCGGGGGTATTTTGGAGTGAATTGTAGCCAAGTAATAAGATTTATTTTTTTTAAAGTTTGAATGATAAGACAGACAAGAGGATTTGCGTACACCATCGATCGGATACCATATGTGGAGAATGTTTACCTGATCTGAAGGTGTTTCTAATTGGATCGCGTCCAGAAGTTTATGCACAGCTTTTGTCAAAACTTCATCATATTACTCGCATTTTTCCTGCAGGGCACGTGTCTGGTGCACCTTATCAAACTCGGTATCGTTATAAGGGTTTTAATCAAGATAAAGGGTATAATCAAGATCGTATATTTGTACCCCAGAGTCTATTTATTGGCGAACTACTTTGTCACTAATAATAATAATAATAATAATAATGATAATTGCACTCACAAGTACAGCTCACACCTTACGAAGGGTAAATCTATGTAAAATATCTGTGACCTTAGGTTGTCTTTTATTTTTTTTCAAATATGTCATTTCTGACCTGAGAACTCAGGTTGAGACCTGGAAAAAAATGGAATCTAAAGCAGAAAACAATGGAAATAACAACAACAAGAACAACAACAACACTCAGCACCGATTACAAAAACAGACGACATTACAATTCTATTAGATTACAACATTGTCATATAGAAAGAAAATAACTACCGGGACAAAGGCTCGAACGTGACACTCTGGACTTATGAATATATCTTTTCCGCCAGGTGTATAAATAGCAATGTCAGGCTACTGACTGCAGTGATTACTGAGTGACTACTATCCAGTCGAATTAGTGTGGATTATTGTGAGTCGATGATTTGGATTTTGATTTACGATTTACCGGACCTTAAGCCGAGCCGCGCTACTAACAAGTTATTCACTGAACTGTTTAATTATCTTTGGCTGACATTTTACTTATTTGGTCTTGTTAAGTATTTATTTGCTGTTGAGTACTGTTTTATTTTAACATTGAAGTCTTGAGTTATACTTAATTATTAACGGGCAACGTACGTCACAAAAAACATCTTTACAGACAGGAAGATTGTAGCAATTAGGACGAACATAATTGCCAAAAAACGAAACGAAAATTCTTGCTTACTAATTGATATGATTTACCCAGCGCACTGTAATATAGCAATCAAGGAATTTGAAGAGAAATATCGCAGTATAAAGACCTGGAATTCGAAATAGAAAACATGTGGGAACTGAGAACAAGAACAGAACCAGTCATAGTAGGTGCGCTTGGAATGATAAAAAAAGGAACACAACAACACTTTGAAAAGTCCTTGAATATCACAGGTTAAGAGAAATACAAAAGATTGTTTTGATAAGTACAGCCCACATATGAAGTAGAACTTTGTCCATGTAACACTAGCGATCACAGAAATAAATAATATCATTTATGCAACAGATTTGGTATCTAGTTAAATACTTAATGTCAAGACAAATAATAGTTTAAAAACAGAGGAAAATAGCCAACTTGTAAGGCAATATTAAAGCGAGAAATTGAGGAAATCTGATGTGAGTTATCGACACGAGATGAGATTTCAAGCATCCCAAATGTTTCAACACGAAAAAGAAAGACGATCAAGCGGAAATATAAAATTAAAGCAGTAAATGAAATTCCACTACTTATGGAAATACATACACAAAAGCTACAATTAAAGGTACAGACAACAAGACTATATGAAAAGCGTTGTAATTTCTATCGGCAAAATAAGATATTAGAAATGGTAGCGATTTCGGATTTGATAAAAGTGCAAAAGAAATATTCAAGAAAGGGAGAATTACAGAAATAGACTCAAGAGATTTACATTTTGTCACAAAGATTATGGAACTGGAACAAGAGGAAGCCTATGAATTGCAAAGAGTCATCGAAGGTTTAATGGAATACAGAATAACTAAATGAAGGAGAAACAAAGAAATGAACAAAACAGACGTGTTCGTCTTGTGTTAAGTATCGAGTTGAATTCACAGAAAAAAAGGTTATCAGCAATAAATACTGTGGCTGTTCCTGTAGTGAAATACAGATTTAACATCTTTAATCGTATAATAACTGACGGTAAGCGAATGGCTATGCATCATCATAAGGCCAGTGTTGATCGTCTGTATGTGTCTGGGCATATACAGACGATCAACACCAGCTTCGTCACGGAGGAGGCAAATTATTCATGCCTCTAGAACTGTTTTATAAAACCACAACAATCGCTCTTCAAAAGAAACCTCGGAACTACAGAAGACTGGATGATGTTCTGTGTCAAAGAACATGAAAGAAATAAGAAACTTTATTCAGAAATAAAGGAAATCAACAAATTCAAAAGAGTCTGTCTATATTTCTGAGATGAGGTATTATGTACATTATTTACATTATTCGGACTATTGTTCTCATCTTTGTCGCCATGTGTCCTCAAGAATAAAGGCGTTGGTTAGATCCAGTGACAGGACCCAAAGTGTGTGAGTTCAATACCCGGTTAAGGCAGTGGAGAACTTGCAGAGGGAAATTAGCAGGAGATAACTGATAACTGACATCCATCAAACATGGCACGTGGAACTAGAACAGTCTACCCCAGTGAGCGAAATAAAGGGTTCAGTTCGAAATTCCAACCACCTGAAGAAGGCCGGAGCGTACAACGGCCGAAACGTTGAGATAAATATGGCGACAAAGATGAGGACAATAGTCCGAATAATATAAATAAATTTAAAAGAGGATGGATGACGAATTACAGATAAACCATAATACACCTACTGCAACGGCGAAGAATCTAAAAAATCAAATGCAATGTACGAAATGCAAAATGGATGACAAGATATGTCTCTTCATGATCAATACTCTGCCCGTACCAAACAAGCTGACGTAGACAAGACCCGTACCAATCAATAGTTACGTAGTGCAGAGTTAAAAGCTGAAGCCAAAGTTTTATTTTTAATGCAAAACCTTGCTAACTAGAAATTAAGAAGCAAAGCTGTTGAAACCAAATTCAGATTTTGTATATCATAATATTCAGAAACGATTGACCATCTTGTTTCAGGTTGTACCGTGTTAGCACCTATTGAATATAGAACTTAATATAGAGTGGCCAGATATCTGCAAGGAGATTATGCAAATTTTACGGTAAAGAAACTGTACAAAACGGACCCGGTTTCAGATCTAGGCCCTGTAATAATCTTATGTTACTTTACAATACTCACAGAGACCAATCAAATCTAATTACCCAGACCTCATGATCAAATACCATAAGAACGAAATGTGCTTTTTTTAAAGACACCCATGTAGATTGTAAGGTATCTTTGAAGATATTAAAAAAAACTATCAAAATTTAAGGATCTTGAAGTGGAAATCAAAAGAAATGTGGCATATGTGGACATCAATAATTCCAGTTTTAGTTGGAGCCCTCCGATTGAACGGGAAATGTTCCCATATTGTCATTGAAGGGATTTCTGGTAGCCCATGCCTTAAAGAAATACAAAAGAATGTACTCACAAGCAAAATTCAGACATTACGAAGAGCTTTATCTATGTAGAATGTGTCGGATCTCAGTTTTGCAAAAATGATCATTGGAAAATGTCAAGAAGCCGTCCCTGAAATTAGGTCTCTGTTTGGGACCCGGAAGGAAATGTGTATACAACAGAAATGAAAGGAATTAATAATAATGATAATACTGCTACTACTACTACTACTACTAATAATAATAATAATAACACCCACTGAATATAAAACACGACATGACAGAGTGGGCCAATATCTGCACTGGAAAATCTGCAACTTCTACGGGAAGGAAACTGAAAGAAACTGGTATGAACACCACCCAGACCCGGTTACGGAGATAGGACCTGTTACAATTCTATGGGACTACACAATACACACTGACAGAACAATCAAGGCCAACCGGCCAGATATTGTTATTAAAGACCACAAACAAAAACGGTGCCTTCTTATTGATATGGCAGTCCCTGCCGACTGCAATGTATCTTTGAAGATATTCAAAAAGTTGTCAAAGTACAAGGACCTTGAAATAGAAATCGCGAAAATGTGGCATATTGGAACATCAACAATCCTTGTTGTAGTTGGAGCCCTAGGACTGGTTGGAAAAGATTACAGTAGACTAATCGAAGGGATTCCTGGAAGTCCATGCCTCAAGGAGATACAGAATTGTTCTGACAAGTACAGCCCACACCTTACGAAGGGCTTTATCTATGTAATTTTTTTTTTTTTTTTTTTTTTGTCAGTGGAAAGTGTCATGATGCCATTTCTAACCTTAGGTCCCTGGGCGGGACCCGGAAAGAAATGCGTAAACGCCAAAAATCAAAGAAAATAATAAATAATAATAATGGTAATAATAATAATAATGATAATCTAAATGATTTTTAATATAAAGATTTTGAAATGTTGCTTTTCTAATATTAACATTTGTTTCCTATAAGATCAATAATAATAATAATAATAATAATAACAACAACAACATAGGCGCATATAGATTTCTATTTCAACAAAATCGAAGCTGCTTCTGCTAATGAAGAGAGAATCATTAAAATTGGCTGTTGTGGTGGGTGGGGGTGTCATCTCTTTGGGCTTCATTAAAGAATTGTCCTAACCAATGAAGCGTTGATATTCAATATTATTGCTGACGCAACGGATCGAAATGAAATTTGAAGTGACGATTATGTTAATATCGTAAAAGACAGCAACAATGACAATAAAATAGTTATAAGTAATTCCTAATGTGATGAGATTAAAAATGACGGGGATAATAAGCAGAGAAATAGTTAAAAAAAACATTGATGAATATATTCGGTGGCAAATCTATAATAATTTCAATGTTCACTAGTTTTTTTTTCCATTAGTTCTATCTATCTATCTATCTATCTATCTATCTATCTATCTATCTATTGATTTCTTTGCGAAATCTATCTCTCTAGTAATCTCTTCCCCCCTCTCTCTCTCTCTCTCTCTCTCTCTCTCTCTATCTATCTATCTATCTATATATCTTTTCCAGATTGTTCATTATCTATCTATCTATCTATCTATCTATCTATCTATCTATTCAATGTTGTTCATTATCTATCTATCTATCTATCTATCTATCTATCTATCTATTCCAGATTGTTCATTATATATATATATATATATATATATATATATATATATATATATATATATATATATTCCGGGTTGTTCATTATCTATCTACCGACCTACCTACCTACCTATTTATATATCCATTCATCAGTCTATATATCAAACGATATGGGAGCCACAGTGAAGTTATGGATAATGGATCAGATTGAGGAATCGGAGATCCGAGTTCGAATTCCAGTCGAATCCTTTACATTCATATACATGCTAATACCCTTTGGAAAAGTATGAATCTTATGAGCAAATAGCAGTACATATAACATATAAAACCTTAGATAGTAACAGGCCGAGGCGAAGGGAAAACTCTGAACTCAAAACCGTCCTGGAGGCGGTCGTGTGTCAGGCTATCTAGTTCAAGAAACACCACTTCTGGTGTGGCTACGGGTCACGACATAAAAATTATACTGATCCAATATCGATGTGTGTTCTATACGTCACTACAACTCTTACCATAGTGTAAGACTCTCCTAATCTCTCAGGCCTATATATATATATATATATATATATATATATATATATATATATATATATATATCCTTCTCCCCCAAGGACTGCTTTTGAAGCAGTCATCCGGCAGAGTGTTTTCCCAATCACTAAAATATTGACCACTTCAAGTCTCGGGATAGCCGTTATCTTTTCTGCATAGTCGCGTCTTATGACCACATCATGTTGAAACACTGGTTTCCGCACGATCACCAAAACTAACCAACATCGGGCATTGTCAGTGCCTAAATAGCTAACCGCGTGGGAATACCAGGTGCTGTAAGCTTGGAGGTGCGGGTGATGTAATGGATAACGGCTCAGAATTGTACATCGAAGAGCCGAGTTCCAATTCCATTTGGGTTCGTTATATTTCCTTTGCCCTTATACTCTTAGGAGAGGCATGAATCCACCTTTTCTACAACCAGTCATGGGTTATTTTGTCAGACTCTTATCAGTAAAACATTATTATCAACCAAAATTCTTAACACGTAAAAAAAATTATGGCTTTAAATAAAACCCGTTAAAAGGTGATAATCAGTAAAATAGACAAATCAATTCATTAATCTTCATTTTGCAGCTGATTGCTTTCAGGAATCAAAATTTTAGAGAAAAAAATATCTACAGAATGGTATTTCAAGTTCCAAGTCGAGTCGGATTTCTTATAGTCACTTAAGCAACAACAAAAAAAAACATTGGAAAACGTATGAAACAATGAATCCACCTCTTCTCTCCCAAGATATAGGTTAGTTGGTAAATAATAATTAACTTAAAAAAATTCTCAATCTAAAAATATTTGTCTATATTTCTGAGGTGAGGTATTATGTACACTATTTACATTATTCGGTCAGGTTGTTGAATCCAACTGAACCCTTTATTTATCCAAGTTCACCATGTTTAATGGATCTCATTTATAGATCTCTCCAAGTTCACTGGTATAGATCCAGTGACAGGACCCAAACGAGTGTGAGTTCAATACCCGGTTAAGGTAGTGGAGAACTTTCAGAGGGAAATTAACAGAAGATAACTGATAACTGACATCCATTAAACATGACACGTGGAACTAGTACAGTCTACCCCAGTGAGCGAAATAAAGGGTTCAGTTCGATATTCCAACCACCTGAAGAAGGCCGGAGCGTACAACAGCCGCAACGTTGTAATAAATATGGCGACAAAGATGAGGACAATAGTCCGAATATTGTAGTGTCTAAAAATATTTTCTGGCTTTAAAGTGCCAAAGGTTGACAAGACGTAAATAACGAATGGATCAATCAAGAATAGCTCCATGAACTTCACTTCTTGCCTTTTCCTGCTCTCATACAACACCACACAGTAAATACTTACTTGAGTGGCTCTTGGTCCTTATATTGGTTGAATTTTGGTATAATAAAAGATCCTAGCAATATCGTTTCGTTAATGGCATTTTTGTGAAAACATTGACTTGCATGATAAATTCTGACACAGTATCTTCCTTTAAGACAGCAGGACTGATTATTATTGAGGTTCTCTGACTACGTTGATTGCGTTTTTGGCGTATCGAAGCTTTAATAATGTTTTCCTAATGTACGATTGATTAGATCTCTGATTTCCTGTGATCGTTTCGAGATAATTGGATTCGTGTTTGGATTTTAGATGGGAATGTGACGCTTCGCAAGGACAACGCAACATATACGGGCGAAGAGCAGAGGCGTCTAGGGTCAAGCATCAATTAGCATTCGCATCTCACAGACGTCTTCATTAAAGTAAGGGAGTTCGATCATCTAAAAATTGCCTTGTGCTCTTTAGTTAGTCTTATCAGATGGAAGGAAGCCTGGTGTGGAATAATATCAAGCAAACTAGATTCGCTGAAATTGAATTTCGAATAGGCTTCACCAGGTATAGTTTAGCACAACACTTCAAATTGCTACAAAATGCAAAACACTAACCTAAAAAAGACGAGACATATTATTAAAAATAAATCCCCATCAGATATACGAGGTGCATTCAATAATATAAAGTAATTCAAAAAATTACTGGAATTCGAACTCGGCTCTCCGATTCCTCAATCCGAGCCGCTATCCATTACAATATTTATTTCTGTGAAATTACAGAAAATGTGACACAAGGCCTAAAAAAGGGGCATGGGGAAAAGAGACGGTCTTCATCTGTCTTAACTTTAAACTTAGCTAGCCACAAACACTGACCCAAGTATACAAACACATTTCCTAACACCAAAACAACACATTCTTACTAACCTTTCTTACTACATCCACCATAATACCACATTGTCTCTATGAAAATCCTAAATACTCCCCATATGTACAAATCGTCGTATGAGTGGGGGGATTAAAACAACAAATTAAAAAGACCCCCAATGAATATATACAATATAAATCAATCTATTTAAAAGAAATTAACAAAATCCATTATTTCAATTGGTCAGGCTTGTCCTACTCCTAGGTTAGTGGTCATTCAATTCTATAGAATACCAGGAAGAAGAAGAAGATTCATACATTTCCCAAGGGTATTAACATTAATTGAATTCAAACTCGTCTCTCTGATTCCTCAATCCGAGCGGCTATCCATTACTCCACCGTACCTCCCCAAATAATTATAAAACTTGATTTTTTTTTAATTCAGGGTTGTCCTTCATCCAAGTCTATAGAACCCAGGGAGAAGAAGAAGAAGATTCATACCTTTCCCAAGGGTATTAGCACGTAAGAGAATGTAATGGATCTGACTGGAATTCGAACTCGGCTCTCCGATTCCTCAATCCGAGCAACTATCCATTATTTCTTTTTAGAGAAAAAAATGTCTACAGAATGGTATTTCAAGTTGTTAAAAAAGGTATGAATCGAAAAATCCACCTCTTTTTTCTGCAGATATAAATTTTTGTAGTTTTTGTATATAATTACTTATAGATCTATTGAGTTTTACTTTATCAACTTTTGTTATTCCAGTTTGAAGGAAACTGTTGTAAAAGCTCTTGGAATACGCACTACTAAACACTGCTTATAACAGCAGACATATTTTCAGAATGAACTGAAGAAGATACAGAAATGATAACTTTCAACAACAGCAACAACTAAAATGGAAAGCAAATGGAATTCGAAGAGATTGATGAAAAAAAAAATGTTGAGATTCCATGATACTTTATGCAACAAGTTAGGAAGGAAACTCCCATACTGAAAAGTGCAAGATTCATAACTGGACTTGATAAATTTGCTGTCATGAGACATTGTTTTAAAAGGAAGATTTTATAAATTTCAAGCGACGGTATCACTGGGTGTTCGGTCAATGAATGCTGTAGTGGAGGAAATTTATCAGAGTTTTAATGTATTTTTGGAATGCCGTAAAACATTGGTGTTCTTTGTGTTATCTCCACTATGTCTTCCCAAATAACCAACGGTAAGAAGAAGGAGAACATCCAACCCTAAAGTAAAGGAACCAACATTCATACTCTGGCTTCCATCTTCAAAGTCCAGTCAAGAACCATCAAGAGAACGGTGAATAAATTTAAAAAAAAGAGGGATCAGTAGAAACAAAAACATTGATCAGGAGGTCACAACAGGAAGAGGAATCATCTTTCAACTTATTATTATAAATTCTTATTGTTCAAAGAATAACCCCATTATTTTTTATAAAAACGCCGGGGATATCTTTAATCATTTCTAAGATACAACGGTTCAAAGCTTTATCTAACAATTGGACAATTTTGCTGTTACACTCTGCATAATACAATTTCGTAAAAAAATCCAATCTTTCCGCTATCGCTGGTTAACAACCTTCAGAGTCTTCAGGCTCTAAGATTCTGAATCATTTTGATATACATTTATCGGCTGTCAGTGAGGGGTGAGAGAAAAAAAAAACAATGAGAGTATTGTAGATAGGAAGTGAGATACAAATTCTAGCTTATTTCCTGAAGACAGCGAAGGTATTGAACCCGCGTTAGCAGAATGGATAGTTTTTTTCCACGAAATGTTATGTCGTAAATTGATCTGTATTTTTCTTTATTTGAAGTTGCACTAGACCCACATAAATTAATTTCTCAAACTAAAATACTATAAATAATAATTAGAATGAAAGCAATGATGGCACATACCCTTAGTCGATCCTAAATATTCAGGATGAGGAATAAGTAAATATTAGACAATTTAAAACTTCAGCGTATGGATCAGTTGTCACAAATTTAGTAGAATAAGCTACGCCAGAGGTATTTTCGCCCAACACTGCAAATCGCTGCAAAACCAAAACATTAAATAAATATTTTTAACGCCTCTTATATCTCAATTCTGATTGTTGTTACTAGAGAAATAGTTCATCTTAAATATAACTTTCCCTTGTCTATAAATTGAAAAGTTTTTACAAATTTTATTGTAGTTCATTGAAAAATTGTCATTCATCACCAAATTGGATTTAGATGTATTTTCATTTAAGCAAAAAATTTTCATTAGTATTGACTTCAAATCTCAACTCATCCTATGACCCAGCTTATCATTGGGTACTATGCTAGGCCCATTAAAACAAATTTAGTATAAAAAGGAAATAGAAACATAGAATAGGCTGTGCTATAGATAGTTTCACACAACACCACAAATTGCTATGTAACCAATACATTAATCTGAAAACGGAAGTTATGTTCTTAAATAGCCTCGTTAGATTGAGATTTTCATGTGGATTCTATGCATGATTCCAGACTCGTTCAGAAATATCTAAATTGTCAGCTGTTTAAAACCGTTTTTTAAGATCAATGGTTAGAAAAAAGCTTTGAGCGAGTGAAACCTGAAGGTCTTGGCAAAGATCAGCCTTCTTTTGAACATTGTAGACTGACAGTACAGAGTCACAAACAAAGAACTGTACCAAATAACAGGAACCACATCACTTGAGGACTACCAACATTGGCAACAACTAAAATGGATAGCACATGTAACTTGAAGAGAAAATAATAACATAATCAAGATGTTGGCATTCTACAGTACTTCAAATAAAAGGCTAGGAAGGAATCCGCCCATTAACACCGGAAAGAGTAATAACAGCGACTGAACTTGAAAAATCTATTTTCCATAAAAATTGTTTTAAGAGAAAGGTTTTATAAATTTCAACTGAAAGCAGTACTGACTGCTAGTCAATAAATGCCAAATGTTTCCTTATAGGGAAATGGCTAATATTATTATTAACATTTATGGCATTTCTTAGGATAATAGGGTTACTTGCGGATGGTTGTGCCCAGTGTCTCTTTAAGTCAGGTTACTAGATTGGTCCACAAGTGAAAGCCTAGTGCTACTAAATTCTGAATTGACTTTTTTCTCCTTATCAAATTAGATAGTAGCTTAAAACATCCCAAAAGCAAAAACATCAACCTGAAATCTCTAGTTAGGTTCCTAAATAGCCTCATTAGATCAAGAAATTCATATGGCGCCAAAACCCGTCCAGAAATATCTAAACTGTCAGCTGTATGCAGCCGCTCTTAGACCAATGTTTAAAAATGGCTACGAACGAGTAAATCCTGGGGCTCTTGGCAAAGACCTTCCTTCATTGAACGTTGCAGACTGGTGCTACAGAATCACAAGCAAAGAACTGTACCAAATAACAGAACAAACATCACGCGGAATTCAAAAGCGCCGACAACTAAAATGTATAGCACATGTTAAACGAAGAAAAAATGACAACAAAAATGTTGACATTCCACACTACTTAAAACGAAAGGTCAGGAAGGAAACCCTCATTAATACTGGAAAGAGCGATAACAGCTACTGGTCTTGAGAAACCTGTTTTCATGAAAAATTGTTTTAACAGAAAGATTTTACACATTTCACCCAAAAGTATTACTGGTTGCTTGCTCAACGAATGCCAAATTTCCTTTTAGGGGGACGGCTAATATTGCCATGATTCCAGACTCGTTCAGAAATATCTAATATTGAGGACTACCAACATTGGCAACAACTAAAATGGATAGCACAAAGACGAGCATGGAATATGTATTATACACCCAGTAAGTGATTTGTTATATACTAAACGTAAAGTTACGAATGAATTTGGCTTTTATCTCTGCGAAATATATTATAGTGAGTATGCAATGAGTCTAAGTTGTGTTTTCGTATACGCCTAGCGTCGTGTATATGCAGGTCTGTGTATTTTTAAACAGATTAACTTCTTTTCTGCCCCGAGTCGAAGCTGTTTCGTATCCAATTGTCGTTAATTCAGTTACCGATACCGTTTCTTTATGTTCACCAAGGTCTATCCGCCATTTTTCTTTCTCTTCGATAGCCCCACGTGACACACATCTCGCTGTCTTCGCGAATTGTCTCGTGAGAATTCAAATTCGCTTAGAGAATCCCCGCTGCGAATTCCGAGAAAAACTTAATCCACTGCCCTTCAAAAATAAGATTTTTTTAAAATTATTTTTTTAGTTATTTTTTTTAGTTATTTTTGTTTTTTAGTTATATTTTTTAGTTATTTTTTTTTAGTTATTTTTTTTTAGTTATTTTTTTAGAATGTTTATTTTTTTTCTTATTTCTTGTTTTCTTTTTTTTATCTGTTCTAGTTCTTCTTAGTTCTTTTCGTCTCAGTTTACCAATGCCTTTGCTCTTTTCAGGCAACGTTTCAATTCTTTTATTCCTGGATACACATGTGAAATAATATTTCCATTTCTTTCATGCTTCTTTAGAGTTCACCTAATGCAAGGTACGAGATTGACTCGTGAGTAACATGAATGTACGAGGAATTAGACGGTATAAAAAATTATTCAGAGGATAGACAAGGATGGACAGTTAATATGAAGTTGCTAATATTGTAGCACTTAAACCTGCAATTTAAATCATTGCTTGCTTTAAATCTATCCTGGACGTTTCTAATCTAACATTCGTCTGCGATGTGAATTCTGCTACCATATCCGGTCTGCTTCTCCTGCTATATCTCGAGATTCTCGACAAAATACAAAGAAGGGCTTGCAATGTCACCGTCACATAGATTTCTTTTGACTTTTCAATCAATATTTTTATGACAATTTCGCTAATGAATATTCTTGGTATAATAGTAGCTATAGTAAGAATGTGTTGTTTTGGTGTAAGGGATATTGTGGTATTTTGGGGTCAATAATCGTGTCTAGCTAGGTTTAAGATAAGACAGATTGAAAACTGGTCATCTCCTACCATCCCCCTTTTGACATTATGCAACATTTTTTTTTTGTTGCTTTATTCAAAATAAATATTACTTTCTTCCTTGTAGCTCGACCGCATGAATCTAAGCATACTGCTAGGTTGGCGGATAGGTCTCATCGTTTGACAGTTTAAATAGCTTGTGGTACTGTAAATTCTGTTCAAATAGTTTTCTTTCTCCGGATGAACCAACCCTAAGTTTCCGCAAAAGGACACCAAGGCTTAGTATAAAATTATATACAAAACATCTCTAAAGATTATACCAACATACCAAGCTGCACTCACGATGAAACATATTGTAACTGAGTGTACTCACTTCGCACCTGTATGACATAAATACTGAATGTACTCACTTCACTCTTGTAAGACATAAATACTGAGTGTACTCACTTTGCCCCTGTAAGACATAAATACTGAATGTACTCACTTTGCCTCTGTAAGACATAAATACTGAATGTACTCACTTTGCCCCTGTAAGACATAAATGCTGAATGTACTCACTTCGCCCCTGTAAGACATAAATACTAAAAGGAAACCAACACGAGAAAACCATATGAAAATACTGAAACCGTCAACATAATCTCCTACCTTAAATACCTACCAATAGTTTTATACCAAAGTTGAATTCAACAAGAAAAGAGTAGCAACATCAGATGGCAAGACCGACGCACCAACAACGAAATCCTCCATCGCTCAGAAATTCCGTACATTGAAGACGCCATCCTCAAGCATCACATCAGGTGGTCAGGACATATCAGCAGAATGACCAATTCAAAACTCCCGCCAACCGATCCTTTACACCGACATCGTTAACGGCAAATGGAGCCCCAAATCGCAGTCTTTCTTCAAACTAGAGTTCGTCCTAACACAACAGAAGCTTCCGACCGTCAATCCTGGCGAATAACAATTCATTTCGGTTGTTTCATTTACAGGAGAGGAGAACGATTGACTTTAAATTAAAAAAAAGGTAATGCAAGGCCCGGCAGCTCAAGCCAAGACCATTACCTACCCTACCATGCGATCAATGGCCGAGACTGCTCCATTCCCGACATTGCGTGCTGAGACATGTTGGATTCAGGCAACGTGGAGGCACCGGATGAACTAAACTCAGATACGATTAGGAGCGACGATGATATCAAAGCATAACACCTACAATAGGCACTCTACAAACTATATATCAATAAATATACGTTTATCTTGAAAGTATAAAATTATATACAAAACATATACCAACCTACCAAGCTGCACTCACGATGAAACATATTGTAACTGAATGTACTCACTTCGCCTCTGTATGTGTGTGAGCCTTAAAAAGATCATGTTGCGGAGAAGTCAAATAATTGAGGCAGAAGGTAAGTCAGAAGTTGTGTATTTTGGGGAACCTTGTGACAGAATAAGGCAAGCATGGTATCACCCCATGCAAGGAAATAAAGTGTGTTACATGGTGCTATAGAATTAGGAAGAGAAACATTAATAATGCGCAGGAAGAGGAAAAAGTAATCAGGAAGACATTAGATAGTGATTAACTTTGCATTTACATTTTTTGAAGATTAAAGTTGGCTGGAAAGCATGGAGCCAGAAGGGAGTTCCATAAATGGAAAGTGCAGGAAAGGAATCTGTCAGCATAGAATTTAAGGTTACATCTAGCCAGCTCAACCGTAAATTGATAAGATCTCGACGCCAGTTTAGTGCTGTGCTTAAATTCAAAAAGTCTCGGTAGGATAACTAAGTGTTTATCTGAACAGTTAACATGATAGTATCAGATCAGGGCCAATAATATTGCTGAGTCTTCTTTGGATTTTATCAAGGACCTCAGAATAAATAGCAGTAGCACCGGACCATATGCGGCAGCAACATTTTAAGCATGGACGAATACGTCTCTTATGATTATACTAGCAGCATGGCCCGGCGTTGCCCGTGCTTGATTCAAAGATCGTACAACTCATACAGCAATCGCTATCACTTGACTTAAAAGATTTTTGCCCTTCCTTGCCTTTAAAGGAGTGCCCTTTGCCGTGCTGATGTTGCTACATGCTTTACTTCTTGCCTATCTCATACTGCGAATATTTTCTAAGCTCTATACTAAACATCAAATCTGTTACGAAAAAAGAACTAAACAAAATGAACACAAAACGATCAGCTTTAAAAAAAGGACTCGTAACTGGAAAAACCGAATGAAAAAAGAATGTTAACAACAAATACTTTTTCCCACCAAACCCAGTTCTGCGGAATCACAATCAACGTTGAGTTTAAGCAAGTGAATGGGCCAATTGGAGTAAATGCAGATTTAAATTTTTCTCACTTGTGATGAATGCAGTTATCAATTTTTTGCATGCTAGCATGCTAGTTAACATCCGTGTCAGTCAGCTGTTGGCTCTCATGCTGGCCAATAGAATCTTCCTGCCTATTCGTGGCAGCCAGCTCTCCTTCTGGCCAGTACAAAATGGCCGCAAACTACATGAAAACTGCATGAAAAAAGCATGAAAAAAATCGATTATATCCATTATCGATGGGAGTTGGGAAATGGAAAATCGGTCTTGGCCTTTCGGCTAACTTGGAGCATGTGCATGTAAATTTGGGTGGAAATCCGTCGAAAATTGCGGCCGTGCATTCGTTACACACACACACACACACACACACACACACTGCCTTTTATAGATAGAGATTCATATCGCTTCCTGGAAAGGGATAATTTATCTTCTGCAATTGAATTTCATGAGAGACTAGAGAAATTTTTCTTATGAATGATAATTAGAAATTAAGTGGATTACTTTAACGAATATCACCGTGTAAAAGGAGCTCGCAAAACTTTCAAATTTCAGCCTCATCGGTTACGCTTTCTATCACTCGATGACCCTTGGGAAAGTCATGGGGTCATCTCTCCTACCCAACATCAATAAATTGCATTACAGGTTTCACCTGGATTTTTTATCCTTTGATGACTCTCAGAATAAGAAAAGAATTACTTTGAATGCACAGCCACTGGAAATTATGGTACGTGGGACGAAAGAAAAGGAACCTGTGGAGAGATATGTCAGCCTACATCCTGAAGAGAGCTAGCATTTTGCTAAAAAATGAAAGCATAAAAAATGTTTAAAGAATGACTACGACCAGAAATATAAAAATTCTTTAAAAATTAAAGAGAGGGAATTATAACAAAGAATTATTTTTTTTAATTAATTAATAATATGAATTAATATTTTGTCAGTCAAGTATTCTTTTGTTTTGTTTTTTATTTTACATCTAATGGTGAAAGTTACAAATCATGAACGCACGAAGAAAACGGGAAAAGGAAAGAAACGAAAAGACAGAAATTAGAAAAAAAAGAGAGAAACAGAAAAAACAAAGAAATGAATAGAAATAGAAAGAAAGAAAATAAAGAAAAATTGTAGCAAATCTTTACGCATGACAAAACCTCCATAATTATATATGTACTTGGGTTGATGTGTTTGTGGGGGTGCGTGAAATGTTAGCAGCGACAGTCCGCGTGTGAAGGCAAATGACTGAAGCAGAAAGTAAGTAGCCTGTAGCATTTTTCGTCGTAAGCGTGACGAATGTAAAAAAGCTGATCATCGTGATCAAGGAAAAAATGCCTGAAGAGACTGATTAACCGGGTTCAATTGAATATTTATTTTAGTAAAAAAAAATTAAAAAAAAATATATTTTTTAAAGTCGAATCTTCGAAATTGAACTATGACGAAATGAAAACGCCTTATATACATGTAATGTAATCTCGATGTGGAATCAACTGATTTCTAAAAACAAATCAAATAAAAACAAAATAAAGGATCATTTGTAATTTGAAGAAGGCGCCAGGAAAAAAAATGTTTACATGAATTTCTTCTTCACAGGAAAAGGATTATTTGCTCTCCTTTTTTCTGATTGGTTTAAAAAAAGAAATGACGGACGTAATTCAAATTCTTGTAAATTTCAAATTTACACAGAATTTATACATGAAATAATTATAGCATAATTTTTGCCTGCTGCAAGGTTCTTTCTAGCAGTCGTATGCCTAGGGACCATTCTCCTGTATTTAATTGTATTGCTTTCAGTTTAAGAAAGTTTTTTAAAAAAGAAAAACAAATTAGAACCTTTTTCCAAAACCAGGAAATCGGAAATTTGTAGTAGCTGGCAAAGAACATATGTAAAGATAGCAGAAAATGCGACGCCAACATCCGAATGAGCATTACGATAGCAGAAGCTGCCTTTCAGAAGCTAAGCAATGTATTAAGAAACAGAAACATTCCGTCAGAATCAATGAAAAGAGTATTAGACTGTTATGTAATATCTTTCCTCTTATATTTAGATAAACACTGAACAGTCCACGCGAAAATGAAGAAAAGACCTGAGACAGCAGAAATGTTTTTATACTGAAGGTTGATGAGAATACCATAAACTGAACAAATTATGTAACGACGAGATTTCTAAGGTAAATGGTAATAAATAGGACACGTATATAAGGATGTGGCACAAATACATACC